GCTTAAATAAGTCAATAGATATAGACCAAACTAATGTTCATTAGAAAGGACATAAATATAAAAGCTGTGACTCTCACTAGGATTTGAGTAACTAACCTGGATCCAGACTGAGCTCCTTCTGCTTGCTGTTGACACTGTTTCTATGAATCGCTCAACAGCGACATCTGCTGGATTTAAAAAGTCATTCCAGGAAACTTGGAGACAGACTGAAGTCTCCGTTCATTCACTTTGACTGTGGACAGCAACCGAGTCATGACCAGTAATCCTGTTTAGTTAACCAAGTGATGATAAAGTGCCAACTGGATAAAAGAGAATAAAACTGAGTAGTACAAAAATAATCATAACAAAATTTTAGATTTTATGAGTGTTCACCCAGGGCACCGAACAGGCCAGGACCGCCCCTGCTTGTATGACCCTTATGGGATATTCACATAGAAATATTACCCTTCCAGGACATGAAGCTCAGTAAAGCACCCCTCCAACAGCCAAACCCATCTGTTCTTTGATTGGATTGTTAAATTTGTAATTGACAGAAAAATTGGGTCAAAATTCGTACTTTTAAGTTGAAATAAATACAGCCAGGAAACCTGAGCGCAGAGTTTTACATGCAATTTTTTGCCTTACCAAAAAAAAATAAATTGTAATTTTGGGACTGGACCTAATTGGTTTAGGCCTTACTTGGCAGACAGAACTTTCTCTGTCAGCCTTCTCGGTTCCGAATCATTTTCTGCTTCTCTGTCATTCGGCGTCCCACAGGGCTCAATTTTAGGGCCACTGCTGTTTTTGCTGTATCTATTGCCTCTGGGTTCCATCCTTAGAAGGCATGGGATCTCTTTTCATTAGGATCTCATTATGCTGATGACTGCCAAATTTATTTGCTACTAAAGCAGGAGGATGGCATCTCCATAAAACCTCTCTTGACATGTCTAGATGACATCAAAACTTGGTTGGCTCTAACCTTTCTAAATTTTTATGAAAAGAAAACAGAAGTGTTTGGACCTGGTGGTCCCTGTGAGTCCTCTGTTAATTTCAGACACCTGGAAGTTTATTTTAATCCTGTTGTTACTGACCTTGGTTTTAAGTTGGGGAGTGATTTTAAATTTAAAGACAACCAAATCAGAACAGTGGTGAAGTCCAATTTTTATCATTTAAGGAGAGCACCTTGAAACAGTGATTCATGCTTTTATTTCTTCCCATCTGGACTACTGTAATTCACTTTATGTGGGGGTGAGTAAGTCATTGCTCTCACGTCTTCAAAATGCTGCTGCGCGATTCCTAACAGGAACTCGTAAAAGAGAGCATACAAACGTGGACAAAAATTGTTGGTACCCTTC